CGTTCCGTCGCCTCCTAAACCCTTAACCCTATATAAACCCTACACCCTACACCCTACACCCTAAACCCTAAACCCTAAACCCTAAACCCTAAACCCTAAACCCTAAACCCTAAACCCTAAACCCTAAACCCTAAACCTGTCCACCAGTGACTCTAGTTCACTTGCTAGTATCTATTTGGTCGCATCTTGCCCTTGTCCTAGCGTACTTCAGTGTAGCGCCGCCCTCAGAAGTAGGGCAGCTTTCCCAAGCAAGAAGCTTTGGCGTTCTGCGCTTCCGGACTCAACAAAGCGACCGGACATTCGACCGTTTAGAGGTAGGGTTTGTGGCAGTACATGGCATGACTGGTGGCAGCATCGTTCCTGAAGTTGCTTCACAGCGTATCCGCACACTAGTCTAATGCGAATGTGAGGTGCGCTCTAGCTGCTGTGTCTGCTGTCCCTCCTCCATTTGTCCCCAAGTAGCCCCCAACCCCCCTCTGCAAAAGAACAGTACCGCGGTTCGAGCTAAAACCCTTTCACCAGGAAGTCGAAAGCCATGATATCGAGTGCCATGCCGAGACCAGACATAGGCCCCCCCCCCCCCCCCCCTTAGGGTTTAGGGTTTAGGGTTTAGGGTTTAGGGTTTAGGGTTTAGGGTTTAGGGTTTAGGGTTTAGGGTTTAGGGCCCCCTCCCAAATCCGAAACGCAGCAGGAACATCCCCTTCAGAAAGTGGCTCTCCACGATCGGGTAATCTCTGTCAATGGGCAGACGCTTGGCAGACCCAGGCGTTCGGGCGGCTAGTTCTTCTTGCAAATGCCTTGGGCTGCAGCGTTGGTAGGGCTTCACTTGTGTATGTTTGTTTGAACGCTGCCGGAGAGAGCAGCAGATACGCGAAGACCTGAATACCCTGATGAAGGGTTACGCGTATAAAGGGGATCCTGAATTCGTTAAGGACTATACGCACAAAGCGGCTCCTAATAAGAATGAAGGTTTATTGCTTAAGGCTTCCTGGGCTCTTCCTGAAGCCTCTCACGTCTGAGGACGCTCTCTGCTGCTGAGACCGTTGAGAAGCTTCGCACAGCTTCAGGGACCCTGATCATCAAGCTTGTTCACTTCGACCTGTGAGAACTATGACTATCGATTTAGGGTTTGGATTCTCTCTAAAACCCCATCCCCAAATCCTAAACCCTAACTTTCTATGTGTGTTCCCCAGTCAGCTTGGAAAGCGCTTGGTTCCAGCAAGTTCTTTCACAACCCAAAACCCTAAGCCCGAAGCCTTAAACCCCCAACTTTGGGATCTCTACGGCTGTCAGCTGCCTCAAGTTTACACCTTTGTGTAACCTTTAGGCAACGACTTGACAGCACTGTGGAAGAACCCACGGCCCAGCCCACAACAACCCCACAAAGCTCAGCAACAAGACAAAACCGTTTAGGGTTCAGGTTTTCGGGTTAGGGTTCAAAAAGGGAACCCCCACCCCCCCCCCCCCCCCCCCCCCCCCCCCCGCCCCCAAACCCTGAACCCTAAACCCTGGGTTCCAATTATGGGCCCTTAGTGTGGGCCCCTTGTCATGTAACCCATACACCATGCAGAATAAGGGCTCATACTTCGGATCTCTAGAAACAAGTGTAAGGGGCCATATACTAAGGGCCCATGGTCCCAGACCCCAAAAAACCCTAAACTCCCTAAGCCCTAAAACCCTAAACCCTAAAACCCTAAAACCCTAAAACCCTAAAACCCTAAAACCCTAAAACCCTAAAACCCTAAAACCCTAAAACCCTAAACCCTCAACCCTGCCTTAAGTCGTAAAACTCTAAACAGCAGTCGCCTGGAGTGAACCAGCATTTTCCCGGCTCTTGCCAATGGGCAAGGTCCAGGGGCCTCTGGCGGTTGGCCTGGCTTTCTTGTTCGGGTTTAGGGTTTAGGGTTTAGGTTTTGGGTTTTAGGGTTTAGGGCTTAGGGCTTAGGGCTTAGGGTTTAGGGTTTCGGGCTTCGGGTTTAGGGGGGTTGATCAGCATTTTTGGGGCCCATGGGTGCAGTTTGTAGCGCGAGCCTTGAGTCCAAGTAGGGGTTTACTGGCCTATGCACCTCAAAACCTAAACACTTGGGGAGGCCGAAGGGGAGGTAAGATCAGGGACCCATACTACGGGCCCCTATAAGATCTAGCCGAAGCAGCCCTAAACCCTAAACCCTCAACCCTGAACCCTCAACCCTAAACCCTAAACCCTAAACCCTAAACCAGGGTTTTGTGTGTAGGCAGACCAGCCTGGAGCCTGCCGACCATTGGTCGACTTCCTGCGATAGGCAGCTCAAGCTCGAGCTGAACGTGTCTGCCTTCAACCCGACGGCCACCCCAAAAGTTAGGGTTTAGGGGTTAGGGGTTATAAGGGTTTAGGGTTTAGGGTTTAGGGTTTAGGGTTTAGGGTTTAGGGGAGAAGCCCCAAAACCCTACCAACCTGAGGAACCCGGAAGCTACTTTTTAGGGTTATTAGGCAACGTACGATAAGAGTAGGCTTTGGGTTCTAAACCCTCGACCCTAAACTCTAAACCCTAAGCCTGCTTGCACTAGTCTGAAGCCTGTTGCGCTTGCAGAAACCTAAACCCTAAACCCCAAACCCTAAACCCAAAACCCTAAACCCTCAACCCTAAACCAAAACCCTAAACTCCAAGCTTGAACTCCGAGCCAAGTAGCCGGTATGCCTGCTAGCTGCCAAGTCCGTCTCACCTTCTGTGGGATTCTTCAGCTTTTTGGGGGTGAAGAAGTGTTTAGGGTTTAGGGTTTAGGGTGTGGGGGTGAAGAAGGGTTTAGGGTTTAGGGTTTAGGGGTTAGGTTGCAATTAAGGTGTAGGGTGTAGGATTCATTTTAGGGCTCAGAGCTTGCCGGGGCTGTGTTGCAGGTTGCGTTTGCCAGCTCAGTGTCCTCACACGTCCCTTAGATGGGCGATTGAGCCTTGCATTCCCCGATCATCAACCCCATAAAAGGTGCCTTTCTAAAGGGGCTATAGGGTATAATGGCCCTAAACCCTAAACCCTAAACCCTAAACCCTAAACCCTAAAGGGGTTATACGCTACACCAGCCCATTCTGGTTTGCATCCGAAGGTCCAATTATGGGCGGCCACAAACCTTTTTAGGGTTTAGGCTTTAGGGTTAGGGTTTAGGGTTTAGGGTTTAGTGTTTAGGGTTTTGGGTTTAGGGTTTTGGGTTTAGGGTTTAGGGTTTAGGGTTTTGGGTTTAGGGCTATGCTCCAAGAATCCCTCATGACTACACTTGACGCCACTCTGACATTCCCATGGAGCCCATTCACGCCCAGGGTTTAGGGTCTAGGATTTAGGTGCCTAGCAATATAGTAGGACTCCGTATATGAATCGTAAGGTACAGTTTGGGCTCTCTGGGTTGCGCGGCACGGCGCAGACGTGTGACCGGCCGCAGCACGAAAATGACCGCGAGTTCAGGATCTAGGGTTGAGGACGTTCCCAGAGACTCCACAACCCCGTGATTAAGGAATATCCCTTAAATCATAATAGGAACCCTAGTATGATTTAAGGTATATTCCCTAATTAAGGGGAACTGGAGTCTCTGGGTTCAGGCCGGAGCTAACCCTAAACCCTAAACCCTAAACCCTAAACCCTAAACCCTAAACCCTAAACCCTAAACCCTAAACCCTAAACCCTAAGGAGGTTCAGGCCGGAGTCATTGACCGAGTCATGACGCTTGCGTATATCGCATTGGCTTCGATCCTCATAGGCCCGAGACCCCAGAATTCCTGAAGCAAACAAGGGTTTAAGGTTTAGGGCTTATGAGCTGCAAGGTGTCGGGTTTAGGGTTTAGGGTTTAGGGTTTAGGGTTTAGGGCTTATCAGGCTTAACTACGGCTTAGGGTTTATAGGGCCTCTCTTGAGCTTCCGCCTCCTTCGTGAAAGGCATGCCAGACTCACGGCGACCGCTGTCTTTCTCGAATCCTCAGCTCCCCAAAATCTAAGGAACCATGGGGCCTTCCCCTAAGGGTCCATGTGGGTGGCTGTTATAGGGTTTAGGGTTTAGGGTTTAGGGTTTAGGGTCTAGGGGGTGTAATAGGAAACCCGGCAGAGCTCGGGGGGGTCAAAAGGGGGTGTAATCGGGTTCCGAAGTATGGGCCCTTGGCTTGATAGAGGGTATTTCTGTCGTGCATAAGGGGTCCCCTTTTAAGAGACCATGCCCTAAACCCTAAACCCTAAACCCTAAACCCTAAATCATGGTCCCTTTTTGGAGCCCTATTAGAATACGGCACCTGATCTTTAGGGTGATTTTGACAACCACCCATGTACTTAAATCGGGAATTCTTGCGCCTTAACGTGCTTCCTATGTAGGGACTTTTGGCGCCCAAGTGTATAAATTATTAGGTCTATGGACTCATTGGGGCCTTAGTATGGTCCCTTTACTTTTGTTTACGACCCAAATTGAGGGCTAGACTAGACCTGGAACCCCAGAGAGCCTATCAACCCTGTAAACCCTATAAACCTAAGCTCGATAAAGTCGATACACCCCCTGAAACCTATAAACTATGTCATAGTGGGGTGGCCCTTTACATGTTTAAGGGTACTTAAACTCTTTAATGAAATTTGAATATTTATTGCTATCCCAACCATGAACTAGTAAACCCTAGAAACCGTATGAACCCTAGAACCTTCTTGTCTGCCTGGTTTTGGGGAGTGATTGACGAACCCTGAGCGGCCCCTTAAGGAAATCTGCTGGTTTAGGGTTTTGGGTGTATAAGGTCCATGCAGGTATATTCTTTATTTGCTCGTCGTGCTCCCATATGCCTGAGGCAGCTTTGCAGTTGGTTTAGGGTTTAGGGTTTAGGGTTTAGGTTTTAGGGTTGCGGGTGCCATGTATTTCGGGTTTCGGGGTTAAGGGTTCAGGGTGTAGGTGGCTTCTACCCTAAACCCGAAAACCTCAAACCGAAACCCCAAGATCATGTGCTAGCTTGGTTAGGGTTTAGGGTTTTAGGTTTTAGAGTTTAGGGTGGGTTTGTTTGCCTGCGAGGCAGCCGAATGCCTTTGCAAGGCCTTGGAGGTCTGGCAGAAGGCACATGGAGAAACAGGCCCTCCTCCTTGCGCTCCACGGGGCTTAGGTAGGGTTTAGGGGTTAGGCTGAGGGTTTAGGGTGTAGGGTTTGGGGTTTAGGGTTCAGACAGGGAGGAGGTTTTTTCAAAGGTCCAGGGCGTATTTGGGTAAACCCTAAACCTTAAATCCTACATCCTATACCTAAACCTTGAACCGATCAGTATGGGAAGGAAGCCGGTACATGCCAAAAACGCTTTCCGTGGCCACAGTGTGTGGGTTGCTGGCCCAACTTCATCCTTCCAATTCGTGCTTAGGGTTTAGGGTTCAGGGTTTAGGGTTTAGGATTTAGGGTTTAGGGTTTAGGGTTTAGGGTTTCCTTACTGTTGGTTAGTAGGGAACGGGGGAATGCTATACAATCCCTTAAAGGGCAAGGGTATATATAGGGCGTGAATTCCCTAACCAACAGTGAGATTCGTGGTTTCGGCTCCTCCCCTCTCCCCCCTTCCCCCCGCTCCCCCAGGGCATTGAGAGACTCGGCCCTGAAGCCTGCGACCTCAACGTGGCATTGACTCCCCAAAGAGCCTGAAATTATGGTAGGGATCCTAGAATGTAAGGTAGACCTTAGGAACCCCAAACCTCCTTTTTCGCAGCTTATCACGCTAAAAACCCCTTAAAGGATTCTTAGGAAACCTACAAAAAGGAGCCCTTGGGTTCTTAATCTTAAGGTATGTCTTACTTGCAGGGTAGTGGGCTCTCTGCGTCACCTGCAGAACTTGGACCACTTGCTTCTCCTGCGATCCAGGTTTTTTGTTTTAACACGCAAGCTTTGTCAGCGCTCCGCAGGGGCACCTGAACCCGAAACCCTACCTGCACCCCCCAAAGTATGTAAAAAGACAGCCAAAAACCTGAAAAGGGCTCTTGAGGTGAGCCCTAAACTCAACTGCGCCAGGATCGGCGGCTCGGGATATTGCGGCCACGCTACACAGGCGCACAGATGAGTCTGCAGCAGAGTGGCGGGGGGGGGGGGGGGTTTAGGGTTTAGGGTTTAGGATGTAGGGTTGCAAGGGTGCTGAGAAGGTCCCGGGCAGGCAGTGCAGCAGTCCTAGCCGTAAAAAGGATTTAGGGTTTAGGGTCCCCTGCAGCTTGGGAAGAGGGGGGCCCCCCCCCCCCCCCCCAAACCCCAAACCCCAAACCCTCAAGACCCGAAACCCTCAATGGGGTTCTTTGCCCACAGCCTGAACCCTAAACCAAACCACAATTCCGAGAGTGACTCGCAGCTTGGGCAACGTTCACCGTGGGCGGCGGGACCCGGCGGCAGCGCAGCAAGCGCTGCAGGGCGCGCTTCAGATCCGCGAGGCCCGCGGAGGGCGTTATAGGGTTTAGGGTTTACCTGGACCCCTATGTAAAAAAACAGCCCAAAACCCTGAAAAGGGCTATTATAGTACATAATTTGGGGGTTGAGGTAGGGTCTAGGATGTGTATGAATGTAAGCGTGGGGAGCGCGACTTTTCTTTCGATTTAGGGCTTAATTAGTAGCCCCACCCCACCCGGACTGCTTTCTTTTAGGGCTCAGGGCTTTAACCCCCCAAACCTCCCCATTAAAGGAAGCTTCCTTGGTTTGATTGGGAGGTCTGGAGTATGAAAGGCCCTGCAGAGGAACCGGCAACCATAACCCTGCACCCTAAGATTCAAGCCTGAACCATTACGAACCACAGGGGGAAGAGGGAAACCCGAAACCTAAACCCTCAACCCTGCACCCTAAACCCACCACTAACCACAGGGGAGGGGAGCGGGAAACCCTACAACCCCAAACCCTAAAGCCTGAAGCCGCCACGAACCAGGGGGGCATGGTGAAAACCCTAACCCGAAAACCCTAACCCAACGGCCTAAGCCGAAACCCTAAACCCTAAACCCTAAACCCTAAACCCTAAACCCTAAACCACCATGAACTGCAGACCATGAACCACAGAGGGGGCAAAGGGGGGGAAACCCCAAACCCAAACCCCACCATGAACCCCAATTTGGGGCGAAGATGCCATTGGGGGGAGGGTTTAGGGTTTAGGATTTAGGGTTTAGGGTTTAGGGTTTAGGGTTTAGGTGGTGGGGGGGGGGGGGGGGGGAATGCTGGTGTGTACAACGGTTTGCCGGTTTGTGAGAAGGTTGTAGCCGAAATCGACACCTGCAGCAACATGATTAAACCCTATAAACCTATATACCCTGAGATTTTTTGGGCTTACGTTTCAGGATTAGGCATCTTGCTTTTCAAGGTGTACCGGGCTCTCTGGCGGAAGGTTGCTGCCGCTTGGTGCATACAAGCGCCAGAAATAGTCCGCATTGCCCAATTCTTTGCCATGCTTCCATCTTCATGTGGTCACTTCTAGAATACGGTAATTTTGGGGCGGCGGCCCCTCGTATTCAGGGTGACCAATGTGTGCAGAAATGAAGGCACGCCTGCAGAGCTTGTCTGCAGGCTGTTTTCATAGACTGGCGAGGACGGATTCAGATGGGGACGGCGATGGCTTACTTAAGAGTAGAACTTTAAGCTTGTTGGGCTTCCTTACTAAGTAGGACTAAGAAAGTTTAAACATTTTTCCCTTGGCTCTTGGAGACGTAAGATGGATAAAGATGCTGTTGCTGGCATGTCTGTTTTCAGAAGCTGTTGTATGCACGGGCTGAGGGAGGATTTGGTTCCCGTACCTCGTTGGTTCTTACGTAATTACTTCAAAAGGGTTTTCGGGTTTAGGGTTTTGGAAGTCGTAGGGATATCTTGTTTCGCGAAGGAACTAAAATGGGGGGGGGTAGGTATCTAGGGAGCCTCAGGAGCTTAGGGAACCCCTAAAGGGAAGCCCATAACCCCCAAATAAGGGGAAAGGGCAAAAGGGTACCACTGGGCCTTAGGAATTAGCGGGGAGCCCCCCAAACCCTTAAGAACCCCCCTGTAAAGCACTTCTTCAAAGACGCCCTTCCAGGCTGCCTTGGGGAAGGAGCACAGTCCTGAGAGCCTGGTGCAGAGGGGGTGGTGTCGGGGGTTTTGATTCGGGGGCACCGATTCGAGTTCGCCTTGGGGAAATCCTGTCACTACAGAGGTCAGAGTACGAGAAGCTGCTGGTTAGGCAGAGCTTGGGTCAAGTGTGGCAAGGGAGGGTTCGGGGCATGTGACCGTGTGGCCGTGCTCGCGCAAGCCCCAGACAAAGCACCTGCGCTGCCACGTCAGCTCCACCTGCATCTGTTTTTTTGTTGGGAGGGGTGTTCCGAACCCCATGTCGGCCAAGCAGCAGACAGGGGGCTTCGTAGCTGAATTCGTGTACACTTTAATTTTTTTTTGGATACCATAATCCCCTACAGAACTGAAAGTACAAACCCTAAACACTAAACCCTAAACCTTCAACCCTAACCCAAAGGATCCATGTACCTATATAGTATATACTTGGGCCTTAAAGGGGCTCCTATATAGTAGCTTTAGGGCCCAAGTATATACTATACAGGTACATGGATCCTTAGGGTAAACCCCAAATGAACTCAGCAACTAAGGGGGCTATGCCTCAGGGCAGGTCCGCGATGACGACGACGAGGAGGACGACAGCGACAGCGATGAAGGGCACAGCCGTGTGGACGTAGCTTGGCTTTCTTCTGGCTGGCTCTTAGGGCTTTAACTTTGGGTTTAGGGTTTAGGGTTTAGGGTTTAGGGTTTAGGGTTTAGGGTTTAGGGTTTAGGGTTTAGGGTTTAGGGTTTAGAAGTCAGCCAAGGTAGGTTCAGGGCCCGACGCGGAGCCTCGGCTGCAGGTTTGGACTCAAAAGGGTTCTGGGGACATCTTTACAACTTTTCCCTTGTTGGGTTGAAGAGGCTCTAATATTCAGGAAATCTAGTAGGCACTTGGGTCATTTTTTGCATATTCTCCCTTTTTGGGTTTAAGAGGCTCATATTCAGGAACCCTTTTCAGAGGGTCTTGAGGGCCATCCTCATAAAGAGGACTGAGAAAGCGCACCGTAGCTGCCTGACGTCTCAAGGAGCCGCCCAGGATGCGCTCTCACAACCTTACTGTGGGTTAGTAGGGAATGAGGGAATGAGGTACGCTATATAATTCCTTCAAGGGTATATATAGGGGGATATAGGGTACCTCATTCCCTCCTTCCCTACTAACCAACAGTAAGCCACTGGTGCTTCCATCATCAGAGCCCACCAAGGCCCAATGACGCCACGAAGGCCCTGAAACCCCCAACAAAACTCTGCAACGCCATCCCGACCCTCGACTTTTAGCCCTAAGCCCTAAACCCTAAACCCTAGACCCTAGACCCTAAACCCTAAACCCTATACCCTAAACCCTAAACCTTCTTGACACACCAAGGAGGAGAAGGCGCACTTCTTAGAAGTTTGCAACCTGGCTTCAGCTAGCCACCCTGAGAGCCCAACACCCACCATTTTTTTAAGCAACAGTTCCTTAAAAACATGGTAGAAACCATCAAGCAGAGCGCGAACGACGTTCCAGAATGAGACTGGGTTCCACCATCAGTTACTGGCACGGGCCGTTCACCCACGCTCTTTGTCATTCAAGGCCTCTTCCCGAATTAACTCATGAGGGGCTTACGTAGTGATCTCTCCCGTTTGCTGGGGGTTAGGATTCCGGGTTTTGGGGCTTTTGTTTTTGTAGGGGGGGGGGTCTGCACGCGAAGCTGGCAGCATTTTTTGTCTTGCTTTTAACCTTGGGGGATCAGGAGCTCACGGCATCCAGGCCAGGGCCAAAAAAGGCTTACCCTACCGCCCCCCCCAACCCCCCCCCCCCCCCCCTTCCCCCCCCCCCCCCCCGAACCGCCCCTCCGAAAAAAAAGGTAAAAAACATAGGTTTAGGTGCACAAAAAGAGGGGAACTGTCGAGGTTATTCTTTCATGGAATATGGGACCGACGCGTATTTCGACCTGGGGAGGATGCAGGAGAGGGGGCAAGTGGGGAGCATCTTCGTCCCGGGAGTTATGCAAGTACTTACCTGTTAATTACGGGTTGAGGGTTTAGGGTTTAGGGTTCGTACCTTGGAATTAGGGAATACCCCTTTCCTGACATCCTGCTAAGGACCCCTATAGGACTTTAGAGAAAGGTTAGGGGGGCGGTTCTCTTTGGCTATTGCTATCCTGTCCCTGCTTGCCTAAACCCACTTCGGCGTGCGGGACAAGCATGCCGCAGGTGCGTCCCCGCTTCTCACAGCAGAATCTCCAAAGCTGCCTCCCCATGATGGCACGAAGATCCCGAGGATAGGCTCAAGGAACCCTACACCCTGAAACCTAAACCCTAACCCCTACGTTCCCTCCTGAGCTGCTTTATGCACCTTGCTATAGGGCATGGTTTGCAGGGACAGCTAGCTGTGCTACGACACTGAACCGTCAAACCCTAGGGTATAGGGTTGAGGGTAAACCCTAAACCCTAAACCCTAAGCCCTAAACCCTAAACCCTAAACCCTAAACCCTAAACCCTAAACCTTCACAACTCCAACTTCCGAAGGAGACCATCCAAAACCTGGACAAGGCTGACATGGCGATGTGGAAGGTTGACCCGCTTACGTGCCCTGGAAGTGTGGGGGGGGGGGGGCACTTGGAGGTTTAGGGTTTAGGGTTTAAGGGGTTTGGGGTTTCGGATTTAGGGAGTTCATGGAGCTTAGAGGGTAGATTCGGGGTTTGGGATTTCAGGTTTGGGGAGTTCATGGAGCTTAGGGGGTAGATTAGGGGTTTGGGATTTCGGGGTTTAACTTTTAGGGGTTCAGGGTTTAGGGGTTTAGGAGTTCGGGCCCGGTTTGCATGTTTTGGCCCTGCGCTGCCTTGAGAAGACCACGAGATGGGTTTGAGTCTTTTGGTTCCGGCAGATATCGCGTAGAGCCCGGATGCAAAAAGGAGTTCGAGTCTGGGGGCGCTTAGGGTGCCGCTCTCTTGGAAGCACGCGCCCGGGCACGCCCTGTGCATTTTGGGGGTTAGGTTTTCTTAGAAGCCAATTTTAAACCAAAAGGACGCCCTTTTGATTCCCATTTGCTCTTGGGTCTAGTTTTCGTGACCAAAGAATCTGGCAGGGCTTCCCAAAATTAGGGTACCTATCTTGGGTCCCTTGTTGAGCAGATGTTTTCCTACTTGGTGTCTGTAATACCCCTATTGTGGGATATGCTCCTATACAGGGCTGTAGGCCAACGAGATTCCAAAGCAAGAAGCTGGTCTGAAGCTCAGGCGCGACATCCCTGGGCCGTAAAGCTCGAAGGGTAGAAACATGGTCCCTTAATGTGGTCACCTCCGTTAAAGGGTTCTGAAGTGTGGGCTCTTGGGTATATAGGGTGTATGAGGGGTACAGAAGGGGTCGCCTTTTAAAGGCCTAGACTAAAGGACTACGTAGCTACCAAAAAGCCTGAACCTCAGCCCAGGTGGTACGCGGAGATCCAGAAGCGGGTGCACCTTGGGTTTCTTCAGAAGGTTGCTTGTTGCTTTCATCATGTAGGCCCAAGCAGCCCCATACACCTTCATTAAAGAAAAGACTTTATAAATTATCTTCGGGGACCTAGAAGGTGATGCAAAGGTGTATGTCTTTTATTAAGGGTGATTGAACAATGAGCCCCTAAACCCTAAACCCTAAACCCTAAACCCGTGAAAGCGCCCCTCATAAGCCCTAAAGCCGAGGCAGATCAACCTCGAATTCTTGAAGATGCTGCCGAACCCAGAAGCCGACTGCCTCGGGTGTAGGGGTTAAGGGCTTGGGGTTTGGGGTTTGGGGTTTAGGGTTTAGGGTTTAGGGTTTAGGGTCACACACTGAGGCTGGACTGAAACTCGAAGCTCTCAAGCCCTCTTCACCCTAAAGTCATGCCCGAGGCTCCCGGTTTCCAAGGGATTTTTCATATTCTCTGAATTGGGTTTAGGGTTTAGGGTTTAGGGTTTAGGGTTTAGGGTTTCGGATTTAGGGTTTAGGGTTGAGGTAGCCCTGTTAATGTGGCCCCTTACCTTCCTCCAAAGGTTCTGAAGTATGGGCCCTAATTACCCTAAGACAGTTCTGAGTGGAAGGTTCCTGCGGAAGGCCGTCAGTAAGATTGGGGGAGGTTGGGGGCCTAATCAGTCACAAATGTCCAGGCGCATGTTCCTGGTGGACTGCTACACTGCTGGGCCTTGAAGGTCTTGTCCCGCCAACTTCGGCATGAACTTATCAAACCCGAAACCCTAAACCCGAAACCCTGAGCCCTAAACCCTAAACCCTTAACCCTTAACCCTTAACCCTTAAACCCTAAACCCTAAACCCTCAACCCTCCTCTGCTCCGCCCTTACAACCCAGCTCCAGCTGCCAACCCACCACCCTTTTCCTGCCGCCTCCCCCCTTTGCCCTTATAACCCAGGGAAAAACTGAAGCCTAAACTAAACCCTAAATCCTAAACCCTGAACCCTGAACCCTGAACCCTAAACCCTGAACGCTAAGTTAGGGGGCTGAGGCCCCTTGGGCCCATGTCACCCCACACTCGCAACTTGTGGCGTCCCAGGTTTGCGGTGCGGATCTTGGGCGTCAGGCGTGGAATCTCGCGACGAAGGCGAGGTCATGCCGAGGGTTTGGGGTATAGGGTTTAGGGTTTAGGGTTTAGGGTTCAGGGTTTAGGGTTTAGGGTTTAGGGGCTGGTTTTGCGCGTTTCGGTGGTTTTATAGTGTACAACGTGGGCTGGCAGTACCGAGCACGAGAGGGCTCAAGATCGCAGAAGATATCCCACCCGCATCAGCTCCCTGGCAATTGTGCGCCCATTGAAACTGCATCAGGTATTCATGGGTTTCCCTACTAGCCAGCGCCTATGCTCCCCCCCCCCCCCACGCCCAGGTTCCCCGCATAATTAAGGCTATTGAGGGATAGTTAAGCCTGATTAAGGCTACCTAAGGGGGGATCTTAGTTAGGGGGGTAGTATTGAGGCGGCTACTTGGAGGTTCATGGCACTTGTTAATCAACTATAGCTATACTTATAGCCCACTTATAAGCCCCTGAAGCGCCCA